GGTGTGGTAGTTAGGAGAGGGGGGGTGCCAGCTCAGGTGTCGTCCACGTCACTTGACCATGGTTCAAAATTACGTGGTCCGTCGCCAAAAGCCCTCGTGTAGCTAAACAGTGCGACGTTAATATTCAATCAATCAATCAATCAATCAATCCCTGAAGTGATCACATGTATGTAATCATGGTCCTGAACGGCTAAATAAAAGCGTAAAATATACTTAATCGGGTTAAATATCAAGAATCTGATGTATATATCTCATTCATTTTCATACAAATAAACAAAACACTACGGCTACATTAAAGGTGTGTTATAAACCAGAAGATCAATATGTTTTTTGTAAATTAAAGCTTACTTTGACTGTGCTTGTGTGTTTATTATATATATATATAATAATAATAAAATAAGATATATAATATCAGATTAATAAGATTTTTATATAGAAATATTTCAATAGTTTTAAATCAAAACAAAGTATTATGTTCATGAAAGTATAGCCTTTCTGCAGTGGCGTAACGTACACCCTCATATTGAGGGATGTCCTAGGTCCTAGGGCCCAAAGCCTGGCAGCCGCCGAGTACCTACCTTTTATAAAATCCAACTTGGGGGCCCAAATATCCTCCGTTACACCATAGCCTTTCCGCACTATGTTCTAAGATAAATCAGTACTTACATATTATGGCAGATTTCTTGCGTGTTTCTGTTCATGTATAACATACCTGCATGCAGAAATTTTTGTACCAAAGCAGGATTAATTTTTGGTACTTGCATATTATCTTAACTGTTTTGGTGAGATTGCATGAAATGAAGCACATGATCGTGTCAATTGATTGATTGATTGAATATTAACGTCGCACTGTTCAGCTACACGAGGGCTTTTGGCGACGGACCACGTAATTTTGAACCAAGGTCAAGTGACGTGGACGACACCTGAGCTGGCACCCCCCCTCTCCTAACTACCACACCACACCAACGGGAGGACGTTTCAGCTCTCGACAGATTTAACGTGCATCGCTGCCCTACACGGCGGGTCTTTAGTGGTACTGGGCTCGAACCTGTGACAAAGCAAGCCACAGTCCGATACCTATACCACTCGGCTACCGCGGCCACTCGTGTCAATTGAACATGAACAACTAATGGAAAAACAGGGTTGCCAACTATTTTGAATGTTGGCATTGTTGCGATAATATTTAAGTACTTAAATTTTCTCTTCATTTAATCCGTTCATAACCAGTTGATTTCCGCTGTTAAGTCTAACTCCATTTCAAAATTCATATAAATTCTTTGCCAAAAAATTTATGCTTTATAATCATTCCAAATCCAGATAACACCAGTATGATCACAGGACTCAGAAAGGGGAAAACGTAATCTCACATATCATACCGTGTTCCCTGAAGTAACCACATATATGTTATCACGAATAAATAAATAAAAGCGTAAAATATACTTAATCAGGTTAAATATCAAAAATCTGATATATATCTCATTTATTTTCATCCAAATAAACAAAACACTATGGTTACATTAAAGGTGTGTTATAAACCAGAAGATCAAAATGCTGTGAATTAAAACTTACTTTGACTGAGCTTGTAAGTTTATTATAAAAATACCAGATAAATAAGATTTTTATAAATATCACAATATTTTTCAATCAAAGCTAAGTTTTATGGTCATGAAAGTATTGCCTTTCTGCAGGGGCGTAACATACACTCCCATATTGCTGGGTGCCCTGGTTCCTAGGGGGTCCAAAGCCTGACAGTCGCCAAGTATCTACCCTTTGTAAAATCCAACTTGTGGGCCCAAAACCTGACTTTACAGGGAGGCCCCATTGTTCTCTGTTATGCCACTGACTTTCTGCACTATGTTATAAGATAAATAGGTACTTACATATTATGGTAAACACTGCCAACATTCAAGATAACTCGCCAAGTTGGCAAAACCAATTTTGCATGTTTTGTGAGCACTGAATTGACAATTTCATGTGTTTCGTTTAAATAATATTACCAAAAGGCTGTGATAATGTGTAAGTACTGTGATAAATCTAATTTAAACAATGCAGATCAATTATTAATAAGATAAAATATCCATTTCTCTCAATATTGGAAATTGGAAGGAATCATAAAATGAGTGTATTGAAATTGTTGAAACTCTTAAATAATTTCTGTATGGGAGCTGTGATGTACCTCCCCTTGGAAGTACATCTCTCGAAGTATCAGCGTGAGCTAGAGGTGTAGGATTAGCGAAAGAACTCGGATCAAACATCATCTTATTATGACTTTATTAAGATATTCAACTTAAACCTTTAACAAATATAATTATAATAATTAATATGAGAGAATCTACGATGACGCAACACACAATATATATATATATTTATATTATGATCTAATCTAATTCAGACCAATCTCAATAAGCGAACCGCCTAATCCTCAATTCTACTAATAAGTAATCAATCCTACCTTATATTATTCCGTAATGCTACTTGTCTTTATGTGCAATAGGAGGCAGCTCGACAGCTAACTTCTAGACGAACACCAATATGTTTGTCCACGACAGATATAACTTAAATCTTGAACCACGAACTGCAATAATCATCAACTGCCACAACACACATCAATTGTCTAACATTCATTTGCATTGCCATACCGTTTACTCTAAGATCCTATATTTAAAGTCCGTTTATTTTCATCTCTTCTTCACATCTCGTTTCTTGGATTTGGTTGGAAAAGAGTTGCCATTAATTCTGGCCCAAAGAACCCAAAATACTTGTTAAAGAAAAGACGCGTAAGACGTCACGGAGCTTTTAAGACATTTTGCATAACTTAATTAATAAACTAAAAAAGTATTTTAAAAGTTTCGAGAAATTACTCTCCTGAAAAGATTAATAATTGTCGACAAAAACTTATTTTGTAAACTTGCCTTTTTCAAGACAGTCGCTCACAATATGCAAGCCATTTTAGAGTTGAGAATGAAAATAAAACTAAAATTATACCAAACTAAAAAAGGAATACTTCAATTATTTACCTGTAAATAAATGCACGAAGAAATATAGTAATTTTTGTGGCTTTTGAAAATGTAGTAAAATTTAAATAAATCCTGAATCTTTTTAGTATTGATTTGGATTCAATGTGGGTTGTCTAAAATTGAATTTATTCCCACATATTCAAGGCGCCTTCTACTAACAGTGTTAATTGATTAAAAACAATACCATGTTCAGTCCTAAAACCATATTGCATATTCAAACATGTTAATGCTACAATTCACACAAGCATATTCTACTGCAAAACAATAGTACTACTACTGCAAACTTCATGCGACATAATGATAATTGGATGACCACCTTTCAAAGCAGAATCAAAAATGGGTTTTAGTAGTTGGTTATGTGTAATGACATAGATAAAATTTTTCCAATTTTGGGTTAAAGTGTAAAATTGTGGCCCTTTGGATTTGGCGACCGGAATTGATCGCCAAACAACTTAAGTCAAATGCATTACTGGTAACTTTTACTATTTTTTTTATTTCTCATTAACATTTATTTATTTTCATTGGAAAAATCCACTTCGTAATTTATTGTAACACCTATCGCTAAATTAAGCCAATTATCGCCAATTTTAGTTGTGACAAAATTAACTTTGCCAAGCCCCCCTTCTCTATTCTACACTGGAACCCAGGATTGGTTTTATAAGAATGTTGCTTACACAGTTGTTTAGTTTTGATCTGGAGAAATCAAACAATTGACTAAGGAATCAAGTAAATTGCATTAAATTAATAGCACTAGTCTTTTTTAAAATAATCTGCCAATATACAGTAAACATTTATCACATAGCTAAATTGGCTGTCAATCATATAGAGAGTGTAATTAATAATTTTACCAGCATATTAAACTTATATTAAAACCAACCACATCCTTTTCGATTTATATATATATATATATATACAAACAAGAGAAAATCAAAAATAACAACAAAGAATCTATACTCTTTTTAATACTCATGTGTTCCTCCGCGTGTAACGTGGTAGATACGAAATATAGCTCGGTAGATTTAAGTGAATTAAGTTTATTGTTGAACCACAATTTTTAAAATATCTAGCCAGAATATTAAAAGATCTTCTGTAATCCTGAATATCTTTTTAATTTGTCTGAGAGTGTTTTAGAAGGTTTTGAGTACATGTGCTGTATCAAATTCGAGAAAGGCCTACGTTCAAATCTGATACAAACATACTCATTTCGAAATAAGTATGTCTACGTGTTCATTTTTGAGTATGTCTTTTTTCTCCGTGTACCAACCTCCATCAATGCAATTCGGTACTTAGAGTTGCTGGGTGATCACCTCCATCCATTTATGCTGTTGTGTTATCCACACGGTAGTGAAGATTTCAAGCAAGACAACTGTATCTCTCACAAGTTCCAGTTGGCTACTGGCTGGTTGGATGAGCATTCCTCTAACTTTTCTGTCATAAATTGGCCACCTAGAAGCCCAGACTTAAATCCTTTTTAGGTATTTGGGGATGTTTTGGAACAAGGCGATAGAGGCCATCACACAGCACCAACGACCCTCACTGAATTATAGACAGCTTTAGTCAATTTTTGGCAAATCATTCCCGTGGAACGTTTCCAGAAACTTGTTGAATGTATGTTTCGTCGTGTGGGAGCCATTATGAAGGCCAGAGGAAGCTCAACTCGTTACTAGGTAGGTATCCCTAATTCAGTGACTCTTCAGTGTATATTCATATATGATAGAACATAACCAAGATAGGGGCTTCATTTATTTTTGCACCACGGCCTTTGGATACCTAGCTACGCCACTGCTGAAGACCCACTTTGTAGAGAGGGATTGATGGATTAAGTGGCAAAATAGAAAGCGATTTTCTTTGCAATTTTCCATTTTCCTTTCTATATAGGATGTTAGACTATTATTTTTGTTTCTTAATTTTTATTCATTAATTAAATTTAATTATTCCAATAAAATAGTATAGTAAAAAGAAATCACAATCTCAGAAATTAGGTCATCCCAGGTGGAATTCGAACCCACGACCTTTGGATTAGGAGTCCAACTTGCTACCCATTGCATTACAGAGCGATTATCTTTCTAATATATGGGGTTGGACTATTATTTTTGTTTGTTGCTAATTATTTATTAATTAATAAATTAATATTTGAAAAAAAAACTCTATTAATATCAAGTGTCATCCACTACAAGTTAAAAAAAATATTTGAACTTGATTGGATGAATAGAAAATATTTCATTAACGATTGGAAATTTGAACGTAAGATAAATATATAAATATATATAGAGAAAGAGTGAGCTAATATTAGGAATTGAAAGAAACACCAGTAACTGTTACACGAAAAAATACGCAACAGCCCATTTTTTCATTTCGGTTTCGTCAGGAACTAATTTTTGTTTTGTGTCTCGTTTTGTCTAACGGCTGTCATTAAAGCACTTTTAAGCAAAACCTCATATTTTTTCGTTCTAGACCTAAATTCGTGGTATGTTTGAGATTTTAAATTTGGTTTCTAAATAAACACTTGTGGTAGATCTTAAAATAGATGCTTAAAATTTTTTTAATGAAGTTTGATGTAATCATTTATATTTGGAATAAGTAATATATAATTTTTTTTTTAAAAGTCACACAATTCCTACTTAGGTCAATTAAAAAAATTATATTTTAGTTACTTTTTATTAAATAGTTAAAATTAATATAAATATGTATATACATATGACAGAATCACAATATGAAGTAGCAAATAGAAAGCGATTTTCCTTGCAATTATCCATTTTCCTTTCCATATATGGTGTTGGACTATTATTTTTGTTTGTACTATTTATTTATTAATTGAATTTAATTATTCCAATAAAATGGTATGGTAAAAAGAAATCACAATCTCTGAAATTAGGCCATACCAGGTGGGATTCGACTTTTGGATTAGAAGTCCAACTTGCCACCCATTGCGTTACAGGGACACAACGAGCGATTTTCTTTTAACATATGATGTTGGACTATTATTCTGGTTTTTACTAATTATTCATTAATTAATAAATTAATATTTGAAAAAACTGTATTAGCATCGAGTGTCATCCACTACAATAAAATGGTATGGTAAAAAGAAATCACAATCTCTGAAATTAGGCCATACCAGGTGGGATTCGACTTTTGGATTAGAAGTCCAACTTGCCACCCATTGCGTTACAGGGACACAACGAGCGATTTTCTTTTAACATATGATGTTGGACTATTATTCTGGTTTTTACTAATTATTCATTAATTAATAAATTAATATTTGAAAAAACTGTATTAGCATCGAGTGTCATCCACTACAAGTTTTAAAAAATTTATTTGAACATGATTGGATGAATAGAAAGTATTTTATTAACAATTGAAAATTGAACACAATATATATATATATATATATATATATATATATATATATATATATATATATATATATATATATATATATATATATATATATATATATATAAAGAGAGAGAGAGAGAAAGAGTGAGCTAATAGTAGGAATTGTGAAAAAGAAATGCGTATGTACGGTCTTATTCAAAAATTGAAGCTGTACTTCTTACAAATATTATGCTAAAGAGTATGTATTGAAAGTATCAGGATGCGTAACAAAGTAACTATAAAGTCAATTTTTTTTCAAAAAGAAAAACATGTACTTGATCTGTTTAATGACAATCAAATATGTTTTCGAATAATTTCAAAGCAAATTTCGAATTTGTAATCTGGAGTTTAAATAAAATCAGAAGAAAATACGTAATTTTTTTAAAAAAATTATTCCTTTAGAGCGTACAGAAGTGAACCAAAATTTATATAAAACAAGAAAATAAACTTTAATGAGCAGTATGATCAGTTATTAACTTTCAAGTACATTATTTTTTATGAATGCATTATTTAAATTTCAATACAAGATAATAATATAAGGGCTACAAGTTTAATATACATAGATTTAAAACATACAATCTATTTACTTACATAAACACAAAAAAAAAGAATGACACGCGTGCGATATTCATAAAATGATAAAATCTTAATTTGCTACGATTTAGATCTAAGATATTTTAAACGAAAAATTCAAAACATCGTAATTTCTTATCATAATGTAATGGAGTTAAAACATATTGTGTTTCTTACAAGATAATTTTGAAAATTTCCTCCAAATTGTTTTTTAAAAAAACCATATCTAATCATTTTAGATAGTTTCTTGATCTAATGAATTTTTAAAAATTACAAATCCACGAGGATTAAATAGTGGGAGGGATGCTAGAAACTTTTACATTTGTGCTGTATGTTATCTGATTGCAGCTCAAAATTACGAGATAAATTTACTTTGGTAAATTTTGGTTTCATTCTAAAAAAATGTATAATCTTTTGACAGATTGGCTGTTTATTAACATCGAACTTAAAACAACACGGGGCTATTGCAAAGGACCTCGAAATATTCCATTATTGCCAAGTTACAATGAGTGATGACATGTCTTCAGTGGCAGTAAGACTAACCCATGACTGATCAGAAATACTGCCGGTCATTCATGTTTTTGATAATAATCACTCGACTATTGCTATCATATAAGCAACTGGAATTGTACATACAAAAAAATATGTGGGAACCCTCCGGGGTTCCACCCTGGACCCTAAGATTAATTTGAGGCAAAGAATGATCAGACGCCATTTGTATAATAATAACTTATATTTATTCACTTTGTTCAAATATCAAAAATCTAATAACAAATAGTAGTCTTTATGTCTACGTTAAAAAGGGATTTACCTTTAATATTAACTTAAATTATGAAATAGGAAATTAATCAATAACTACGCGCAATATCAATAAGGTTTACCGGAATAGGAGGTCTGAGAAATACACGCAACTTGAATTATTAGCTTTCATTAACTTAAATTAATTTTATTAAACTAACGCTTGTGGTAAGCAGTATTAAACTAGAATATATCACCTGGTAGTACTTTGATCTCTTCACAGGTATATTAACTTCCTAAGGTTCCTTCGCTGAGTACTAACAGCAATATTTCACTATCGTAATCCAATTGAATCCTATAAACTTTGTCACTACTGCTGCTGGCTCAATTGCCTTCATCTCCGTTAACTTACAACGCTCTACTTAAATACCCTATTTACTTTACATATCTCGTTTTCTCCTTTTAGAGTTGATTGGAAATATACGCGAATTTACAATCCCCAAAGACGCCTAAGAATATTAGTGGAAAGGTTCCGTAAAGATTCGTCACAAATACATAACTTTACTCAAGGGTGGACAACTTGTTTTGGCTCGCAGACCACCTTGTAGAATATGAGGAATAGGGCCGCACCTTTTTAAAACTATTGCATTCATTATAAAAAATAATAAATTTAAGTTAAATAAATTAGGGCAGCGTTATTCAATTTATTTATTGAGCTAATTTCATATTATCTATAGCTGCAGGCTCATTTAATTTTAGAATCAGTTCAATGAGTGTAATATGCACCCTGTCATACTTTTCTACATTCTTTTTAGATCAGGAATGCGATTGCTAGTTGAAATTCTAATTATAACCTGCAAGTTTATGTCCGCCAGCTTGTATCTATATGTACTCTTGTTGATCTATATGCAAGAAAAATTTTGCTGATAAATATATGTCGATTAAAATATAAATAATAATTTCCTCGCAAATTTCTTCATACTTGGAAATTTTTCAGCTGACAAAGATTTGTAAAAGTCAATTAGTGTCATAGCATAAGACACTTCCTTTTCTCTTTGATCTGACTCCGTTGATAAGTTCAAGCTGTAGCTAAGTGATTCTCAACTTTTTTAACATCCTTTTATAAGTTTCACTTGTGTGTACCAGAATCTTGTACTCAATTTTCACCCATTTAAAAGGTCAGATTAATTCGAATTTTTGTTTACTTGTTCAGGACCAATGGCAATACAATAATTTAATAATTTTGTTCCATTCTCCTGATCAGGATCGTCAAGACTAACGATTTCCCATTTTCAGATCCCATCCCGCATCTGGCGACTAATTCCAGATCCCATTTCCAGATTTGGCTACTAAAAGATTAAGTTACAATTTAATTCGATTAACTATAAAAGGGTGTTTTTTGTTTTTTAAAACTAATTTATTTTGTTGCGGTACACTTTTACCAAATTCAAATGTGGTGACACACTAACAATAAAATAAGTTTAAAATAATTTTTCTTATCTGTAATATACTATATAAAATAGTTTATGAAAATACACTCTGTCGCAAAAAAATATATGCACCCAGAAGAAATCAAGCTACAATCACGAAACTCGGCAAGAATGTAGTCTGGTAAGAGATATGCAAATGATTAAAATTTCGAAGCCAATGAGACAAGGCTAAGTGTGCTATGCGCATATTAGTTGCGCAACTGGGAGAGTTTAAAAGCATGAGTACGAGCGCCGTACGGCTATCCAAACGAATCTGATGACTTTGATAGACGATATTGAGACTTAGGATGCCTCTAAGACGTAACCGGCGGCAGTACGAGCAGCTGACGGACTTTGATAGGGGCCGTATAATAAGCCTCAGAGAAGCAGGTTGGTCGAATAGACGTATCGGCCGCCACCTCGGTCGGAGCGATATGGTAGTTGCTCGGTGTTGGCAACAGTGGATCACAGAAGGTAGAGTGTACCGTCGCGGAGGGTCAGGACGTCCCAGGAACACAAATGATCGCGAGGATCGTGCAATCAGAAGAGTGGCCACTTCGGCACCAACAATGTCGCTAGCATCGATTCAACGCCACTTACCTCCTTCCAGACATCCAGTGCCATCAAGAGAAACCATAAGGAGACGACTGACCGAAGTTGGCTTGAGGAGCCGACGTCCGCTAAGACGCTTACCACTGACCCCACATCATAGGCAGTGTCGACTGGATTTTTGCCGACCTCGGGCAACTTGAGTGTGACAGACTGGAGACGTGTCGTCTTCAGTGATGAATCCCGATTCAGTCTCAGTGCTGATGACCACCGCACACGTGTCTGGAGGCGCACCGGCCAGCGGTCCGATCCGGCATTTATTGTCGAGCGGCATACAGCAATTTCACAAGGTG